GAAGGTATGGGGGAGATGTCAGAGGTAGGCGCATGGAATCACTGCCGGCAGTGGTAGTGGAGTCAAATACATTAGAGACATTTAAGCAACTCTTGGATAGGCACATTGATGGTAGTATAATGTAGGGTATGTAGGGTAGTAGGATAATAGGTCGGCACAACATGTGGGCCAAAGGGCTTGTACTGTGCTGTACTGTTCTATGTTCTTTTGTGCTACCTGCTTTGGGACCAGAAATCTGCCCCAAAGTCCTTTCCTTATTTTCTGTTTATACAGTTGAACTCATTTGCTAACCAACTGGCAGAACCTTTAATGGATCAGATCAACAGCGGTAGCCAAAGTAAGGAATACTGCTGCATTTTCATGATTTGTGCTTTCTACATCTTACCCTCTGCAACACTCTGGAAACCGGTTCATTTTTCTTCTTAAATAAAAACAAATTGCTTGAGAAACTCAGCAGACCTGACAGCAGACCTGTGGACAGAGAAAGAAAGTGAACACTTTGAGTTTAGTATGATTCTGCTTTGGAGTTTATTGGTTACTCAGCCGGAAAATAAATAATAACAAAATACACATATACAGATTAGGAGTGAAAAGTGAATTAAATAGATAAGAGTTAAAAGATATACAGGTACGTCTCTCTGGGTCCTTTCTAAAGAGGTGATAGGAGAAAATTGATAGTTAAGAGGTTGATTTGAAACTTCTTGCCTTTGAAGGTTAGTTGAAATTCTTTTGTCCTGATTTCTTTTGACAGTGGCTGGCTAGTAGTGTTGACAGCAAAAGAATCCTTCCTGCTTTTGCTCATTTGACTGGCTTGCTGAGTACCTGACTTCTAACACTGAAAGTGCGAGAGACTTTCAATGCAGGGGTGACTAATGGGCAGTTTTTTGACTGTGAAATTCACAGCACCCTAGCAAAATAAAGGAAAGCATGAAAGCTTGAGAGACAAGGTGTCTGAGCTTGATTGGGAAAACATATCAAAAGGTATGATAGTACATAGGAAATAGACATCTTTAAAGAACTATTGCATGATTGACCACAACTATAAATTCCTTCAAAGTGCAGAAACACAAAAAAGGCAGTCAAGCTTAGCTGACAAAAGAAGTTACAGATTGTATAAGATTAAAAGAAAAGGCTTATAAATTGGCCAGAAATAATAATAAATCTGGGGATTGGGACATGTTTAGAATACGGCAAAGCAAGGCCAAGAAAGAATAGAATGAACTGTAAAAGCTTCTACAAGTATGTACTAAAGAAATATTTGGCTAGGATGAATGGGAGTCCATTAAAAGCAGGGTCAAGAGAATTTATAATAAGGAACAGAGAAATGGCAATGAAGCTAAATGATGACTTTGAGTCTGTTTTCACTGAGGGAGATCTACAAATTCTCCTACAATTAGAGATCCAAGTGACTAGGTAGGAATTGAAGGAAATTAAAATTGGTAAGAATGTTGTCCTGGAGAAATTAATGGGGCTGAAAGTTGGTAATTCCCACGACCTGATAGCTTACATCCCCGAGTATTACTGCAAGGATTAGTACTGGCGTCCCAGCTGTTCAAAATATATGTCCATGATTTGGAGATTGGGACTGAATGTAATGTTTCCAAATTTGCAGATAACACAAGGCTAAGCAGGTATGTGTGTTGTGAGATAGGTGTAAAACATTTTCAGGAGGATTTAAACAGGCTTAGTGAATGGGCAAGAGTGTGGCAAATGGAATATAATGTATGTGAGGAAATGAGAGGTGATCCACTTTGGAAGTAAGAGTGCAGAGTAGTTCTTAAATGCTGAGAGGTTGGACAGTGTAGATGTACTAAGGGACATGGGTTTCCTCATCCGTTTGTCATGAAAATCTAATGTTGGTGCAGCAAGCAATTAGGAAGGCTAATGGAATATTAGCCTTTATTGCAAGAGGATTTGAGTACAATTTTATAGGACAGCTGTGAGTGTTGCCAGCCAGCCACTGTCAAAAGAAATCAGGACAAAAGAATTTCAACTAACCTTCAAAGCCAAGAATTTTGAAGTCGAACTCTTAACTATCAACTTTCTTCTGTCTACACTTCATGAAGGACCCAGAGATACTAACCTGTATATCCTTTAATTTTTACAGCTTAATTAGATCTCATCTTAAGTACTGTGTACTGTTTTGATCTCCTTATCTCAGAAAAGATATTGTTTCCATGGAAGGAATGCAACAAAAGTTGATGAGACTTGTTTCTGGAATGGTAGGACTGTCCTGTGAAGAGAGATTGGGTAAACTAGGCATGTATTCGCCAGAGAATTAAAAAATGAGAGGTGATCTCACAGAAACCTATAAAATACTTAAAGGGATAAACAAAGCAAATGCAGATAAGGTGTTTCCTTTGTCTGGGGAGTTTAGAACTGGGAGTACAATTTAAAAATAAGGGGGATGCCCTTTAAAATGAAGATGAGAGATTTTCTTACTCAAAAGATAGTGGAGTCCTAAAGTATATTGAGAGGTTGATAATTTTTTGATTATCAGTGGCCAAAAGGGTTATGGGGATGGTATGGATGGTGGAGCAGGCTTGACAAACTGAATGGCTTGCTCCTGTTCTCATCTTCTTTGAACCAGGCTTGTATTTGAGAGCACCTCAGCTCACTGGCACACCTTCTTTCAGTAGCTCGTACATGCTACATTGAACTGGCTTTTAACCTGTGTTCTTGTGTACTGTTGAATGGAGAAGCCACAAAATATGTCTCTTTCCCAGACTTCTGTCTTTTCTCCCATCATATTGTCAGTCTGAGCTAACTGCCAGGAGATTATGATATGTGGTGCATTTCTTAATTTAAAGTCCATCCCTTTGAGGCATCTATCAGGTATGACATTCTAGGATCTCTTTGTCTCCTGGCAGCCACAGTCATATTTTGGCCATTTATCCTTATTTTAAAAAAATACACTTGGGACTAAATATTACTGGAAATCAGCTAATTATCAATATTGGGGATTTTAATGGAGTGTTTGCCTCAGTAAATTGTAGCACATTATCTCACACAGTTATTAATTGCTTGTGTCATTATATATGGACCATGCTTCTACAGCATCATACCCGTGCTATCTCACACTCATCAGTGACAGAAGTGCTCACTGCTGCTGGAATCTTAAGGAATTTGTGTTACTGGCACCATATTTAAATCCCAACTATGCACCAGTTCAAATGCTGCCAGCTAGGAACACCCCTCATGGTTGATGTAGAGGAAGGGAACCAAGAAAGAAGGCACATAGATGGAACAGGTGACACTTTATTGAAAATAGATTACATTAATGTATCCTCCTTCCATTATCACCTGTTTGATTGACTGTTATAGTAACTGCAGCTACAATAATGAATCTACAGAGGTTATCTGTCCTTAGACCATATCATGTCAGTTTCCTTTACAACAGCATGCTACTCTTTCCCTAATGCCCAGCATCATTTAACACCTTATTATTTAGAATGTGAGAGCATCACTTGTTGTAAAGTCTTCAACAGTTGTTCACATTAACCCTTATTAAACAATAGGAAAAGGGAAGAGAAAGTGAAAACAGAAAAAGTGAAGACATACTTAAAAAAACTGCATTTGTTTCTGGGACTAACAGGAGCTACTTTTCCTTTCAACCAATAATAAACTTACAGTCCTGACAAAAGGTTTTGGCCTGAAACGTTGACTTTCCTGCTCCTGGGATGCTGTCTGACCTGCTGTGCTTTTCCAGCTCCACATTTATTGACTCTAACTTCCAGCATTTGTAGTCCTTATTGTCTCCTTTACTGTCAATGACTGTTGACTTTATCCAATTCAGCCAATTACAACCAGTGAACTCATTATTATTTTTATTGAACTTAAATTTGATCAAGGTTCACTTCTTTTCTGTAATTTGTATTTTTGCATGTTTACTTCGAGTGTTAGTGTGTTTCCACGAGAATCAGAAGTCAGGATGTATTTTAACATTTTAAATATTTTTACCTCCTTATTTATCACATTCATGTAAACTTGCATGGCTAATTCTTTATATATATCCATACAATCAAGAGCATACTGAATTGGCAAATACATCCCTTTAAAAAATTCAACACCGCCATTACAATCAAATGAGGAGTTGGCAGTGAGGGCGACCCTTCAATCCCTCGTCCCTTTGTTGTAACAACTTAAACCTCCCCCACTCCTGTACATTTTCAATCCCTGTAAGATTTGGAGAAATGTTATTTGTGTAAATGTTTTTGTGATTAGAAAATAGATCAGAAAATGCAGTCGAAAGACCCCAAGTATATAAACCTATCTTCTCGGACTTTTCTATTCATTACAAACTGCAGAGATCGAGATACTCCAGGGATCGAGATACAGTAGCTAACACTTAGTAAATAACCCATTAAATTGGAGTACACAATTAGTCACTTTTGTACCGTTTTGTATATGCGTATGTATCAGTTTTAAGAATTTGCACCATAACTCCTCGTACACAGGCAGCAACTGTAATTATTTTAGAAGCCAGTGGGGAACTGAAGTCTTGCAGGTTAAAGGGATTTTATTTTGAGGGAAAGTGTTCTGAGAGCAAGCGTTCAATGATAGAAGTGTCAGTCTTGTTGGTGAAGCACTGGGCAAGTCTCTGGAGCCAGGGAACGTTGATAAATACGAAGGGCGAGACCGTGCAAGGATAAGGAAGGAAGGAAGACCTGGAAATCAAAGCGCGGAAACCTGGGATTTGCACAATGCTAAGAGGTGCTGGAATATTTAAACAAACACACACACACGATGTTTTACAAGTATACTGATAATTGACTCGTGTCTGATAACTGACAGGAATAAGACATTTTGTCGAAAAACCTGTTAAATTGTCAGAGTGCAATCGATTATGATCGACAAGTCTGTAGGTCTGCATTCAGTTATTTTCCTATTTTATGACTTTAACGTGCCAGGCGTAAAAGTGATAAGGGACGGGGAGTAGGCGCTAGTTAACGCTGGCTGATGACTCTCTGATAACACAGGATGCGCTGAGCGCTCCGGGGCTATGGCACAGCTGAACTTACACTGGGAGCCACACAATAACAGCCCTTGTAGCTCTCGGCAACACACAGTCTCAGGGTGAACTCTTCGCTCAGTATCCCCTACCATCCCCTTCAGGGGCAAAGGCTTCACTTTTACCCCTGTTTGCACCTGTCACCCGCCAAACAATGTTTCATTGAGCAAGAAAGACGAAGAGAGAGAGAGAGAAGCCCTTCCCTGAGGCTGCAGCCGAAGCCCCCTCCCCCTTCCTTTTTGGTTTCCTGTTTGCCCGCAGTTTGTGGCGATTCCCGCAGCCCAGGGATTTGCCAAACAACACAGCCCACAAACAGCAGGGTAAACTCCAGGTAAAGCTGCACACAACTCGCTGGGCAGTGACTCTAAACTGAGCTGACGAATGCCTGCCTTGTGGCATCAGTTTGGCGCTGGAGTGAGTTCCCTTGCTGTAAACGCCGATTAACTTCGGGGGAAGAATCTGTACAAGTTCTTCAATCATGGAGGAGGCTGCAGGGCGCCCTTGGAGCAGGCGCTTTGCTTGTCCCGCTTGTCTGGTGGTTTTCTGCAATTTTGAGGAAATGCACTTTCATTCCAAGCTCTTTCACCAGCTTCATTTAACTGGCAGCCAGGGGGAAACCGTTCCGAAGCATCCAGGAGACCAACTTCCTATCTTTGTGGTGAGTTTTCTTAATTTCAGTCAGTAAGAGAGTGCCTTCTCCTCCCATACAGTTTACACATTGTTTCTACGCGGGTCTGAAGAAGTTTTCTGCACGACCGTCCTGTCTCTTTAAATCGTTATAATTTTTGCAGTTAAATACTCCATCCCCATCTGGTGACCATAAATTCCTGGTTCAGCACTGTAACACACTTCACCTGTCATGTGATGGAGAACAGTATCAACATTTTCAGAAGTGAGGTTGGCACTTTGTAACGTTAAGCCCTACACAAGATTTGGTTAAATACTAACTGGAAGGTTTAGAAAAAATTTTGACAAAATAAACTTTTTCTTTCCTTGAAAGATCAAGTATAATTATCTACTAGAGAACTCTCAGGGCTGCAATCAAGCTTGAAAACAAGCAAATAACCTATTAGCAGTTCCAATCCTTTAGATTTGCTTTTGTATCTCTCAGAATTAAAAAAACACCACTGCAACAGCACAGGAGAAAAATTATAGTTGAAACTGTTTTAACGTTTTAAAGGTTTTCTTTGTTTTTTTTGATATGTTATTAAAATCTTAGGGAGGGAAAGACGCTTATGGATTGTATTAATTAACATAAAACCTTCAGGAATATGTCCAGAGTTGGTAACTTGACTATTGTCGTGCTACTGGTTGTGTCTCCAAAACCCTTGCATGCATAACTGGCTAGTGGTGAACTGTGGAAATTCATTTTGTAAACTGTTGATGTGTTGTTTATGGATGTTGGAAATGCAAATGTGATGTTTAATTTTCAGAGTATGTCTCACCCACTGTGACCAATTTAATGCAATATCTTGACCACTTCTTACAGGAAGTACTCTAAATCATCACGCTGAAAATAATAGCTTTATTGTTGATGGATTGAAGGAACAAGAGTGGGCCATTCAGACTCTTGGACTTTCCTTCCCTATTTAGTGAGACCATGTTTAGGCTGTATCTTAAGTATATCCACTTGTCTTAGTTTCACATCTTTTTCTAGAAATGTCCGTCAACCTTAGATTTAAAATTATTATTTCATTGAGCAAGCACATTTTTGAAGAAACCTTTCCTCACTTGTCTCCTGAGTGATCTGGTTCAGATTTTAAAACTCAACTTACCCACCAACGGGAAGTTTCTCTTGATTTATCTATTCCATCAATTCTTTTCAGGCACCTCATAACACAAGCAAACCAAATCTTTGCTGCATTCCTTTCAAAGTCGCTGTATCCTTTGTAAGGTATGGTGTCCAGACTGTACCCAGTATTCCAGATGTGGTCCAACTAGGAAAATGTATCATTGTAGCAAAATTTCTTTCCTTTGTGCTCTCACCCTCTTGTTACAAAGAACAACATCCTATTAGCCTTTTTGGTTTTTATGACTTAATACATGTTTGTGATTTCCTTACATGGACTCATACAATTCTTGGGTTTCCATTGCTTCTAGCTTTTTGCCATTTCAGTAATACTCAGATGTATGGAGATGCTGCTACTTTCAAATGTCATGGTGAGGACTAGGTGTTAGGTCAGCAGAAATATCGAGTATTTAGTCATCTTATGTGTAATAGCTAGGTGTATTTCTGTAGTATTTCAATAAATCAAATGATGTGCAAAATTTTAAGGAAAACATTGTATTCTTTGCATGAGGACCATGTTATTTTGTTTAAAATGAGGTACGCCATGTTAAGGCCACAAGTTCTAATTGTTAGAAAGTGAAGCCTTTTTTTCATGCACTGTGTATGTTGGTAGCTGGGCCACATCTGAAAAATAGAATCCTCACAGTGTGGAAATAGGCCATTTGGCCCAAAAACCCCACACCGACCCTCCAAAGAGCATTCAACCCAGACTCATCCCCCTACCCTATCCTTGTAACACTGCATTTCTTGTGGCTAATGTACCTAACTTACACACCCCTGCATGCTACAGGCAATTTAACATGGCCAATCCAGCTAACCTGCACATCTTTGGACAGTGGAGGAAACTGGATCATCTGGTGGAAACCCAAGCAGACACGGGGAGAACGTGCAAACTCCACACAGACAGTCAGCCGAGGTTGAAGTCAAACCCGGGTCCCTGGCGCTGTGCGGCAGCAGTGTTAAGCACTGTGCTGAGATTGCTGCTAAGAACAGCAGTAGGTTATTCCTTTTTAATGTTTATTGTTGTTTGGTCACACCTTGGGCCACTACGCCAAAGTCTAAATTGGAGTTGGGCTTGAGTAGTTCAGATTAGATAAGTTTTACACAGAAATATCAATGCTATGTTTTATTACGAGTGGGATTAAATGCAAGAGTAGGGAGGTTATGCTTCAGTTATATATGACATTATACAGTGTTGAGACCGCATTTGGAGTACTATGTACATACTCGTCACTGTACTTATGGAAGGATGCTAATGCACTGGAAGTAATCTGGAGAAGGTTTAGTAGAGACATACCTGAAATGAGCGGATTGCCTTTATGAAGAAAGGCTAGACAGGCTAGTCCTGTATCTTCTGGAGTTTCAAAGAGTCAGACGTGACTTAATTGAAACATATAAAATGCTGAGGGGACTTGACCAGGTGGATGTGCAAAGGATTTTTCCTCTTGTGGGACAATCTTGGGGTTGTAGGTTAAATATAAAGGGTCACCCATTTTAAAAAAGAGATGAGAAAATCATTTTTTTCTCTGAGGGGAGAGATTCTTCGGAATTTCTCTTCCTCAAAAGGCAGTGGATGCAGAATTCTTAATTTTTTAAGGCAGATGTAGATAGATTCCTGATTACCAAGGGAATGAAGGATTATTGGAGATATGCAGGAATGTAGATCTGAGTTAAAATTGGATCAGCCGTGATCTTACTGAATGATAGAGCAGGCTCAAAGGGCCAATAGGCTTACTCTTGATGCTTGTTTGTTCATTCTTGTATGTAATACGTCTATATAAACAACATTGCACTGCAATATTTGTACAGTTCAGACTGCACATCTTTATTCAGTAACATATCTTGGGCAACATTGAACAACATAAACTAATGCAGTGCCTCCTGGGGAAATGTTATGGAATGCTTTAAAAGAGGGAAATGGCAATACCAATCAAACAATAGCAAAATAAAGCCAGGAGACTGAAAACCATGTCTTAAAGAAATGTCACTCAGAGATGGTAGGAACTGCTGATGCTGGAGCCTGAGATAACAAGGTGTACAGCTGGCTGAACACAGCAGGCCAGGCAGCATCAGAGGAGCAGGAAAGCAGACGTTTCGGGCCTGGGTCCAGCTTTCCTGCTGCTGTGATGCTGCCTGGTCTGCTGTGTTCATCCAGCTCTGCACCTTGTTATCTTAAAGAAATGCGTCAGGTTTAGGAAGCACATAAAATATTTATAATCAACTGTGCTGGAGTAAACATTTTGTATGTTTTTGTGTTTGTAACGTGGAAAAGTATGCATCTTTTGTAACGTTGCTGTGTGATTCTAAATTCGGATGAGAACATAAGAAACAGGAAAAGACCATGTGATTCTTCAAGCCTTTTGCAACACCATGCAGTAAGGTCATCTCCAGCTCCCTGCCTTATCCACATGCCCCTTGATTTCCTCACTTATTCTATCAGTGATTAATACAGATTTTCCACTTTATACCTCATGTCGACTATGTTTTCGAAGTGATTTACATTCAGTCAGTACATTTGATTTTTGTTCCTGAGGTTTGAGTTGGAAAGTGAAGTTATCAGGCCATTGCTTGATGGAGTCATAGAGTCTACAACACAGAAAAAGTTCCTTCGGCCCATCAAGTCTGCGCCAGGGATGAACAACCACATAACTATTCTCATCCTATTTTCCAACACTTGGCCCATTGCCTTCAATGCCTTGGCATCTAAATGCTTCTTAAATGTTATGAGGCTTTCTGCCTCTATCACCCTTACAGTAGTGATTTACCTATGAGGGGGGGGAGAAAAGTTCTCTCATCTACTCAGCAGCTTGGGAGCTTCTGGTGCATAGATCCTGAAAAAGTCATAAAAAGGTGCAGTAAATAATCAAGAAAGCTAATCAGATACTGGATATCTAGAGGACTGGAGTCTAAGGATGCAGAGGTTATGCTGTGACTGTACAAAACCCTGTTAGATCCCATTTGGAGTACTGTGAGCAGATCTAGCCACCACACCTTAGGAAGGATACATTGGCCTTAGAGGAAGTACACCGTAGGTTTACAAGAATGATACTTGGACTTCAGGGGTTAAATTAGGAGGAGATATTATACAAATTAGGCCTGTTTTCTCCAGAATTTACAAGGTTAAGGGGTGATTTGATTGAAGTCTTCAGGATATTTGCAGGAAAAGTCAAGGTAGATAAAGATAGCTAGTGGAAATAGTTTGGGGATTCTAGAACTAGGCTGCATAGTCTGAGAATTAGGGTCAGACTGTTCAGGAGAATTGTTAAGAAGCACTTCTGCACACAAAGGGTAGTAGATGTTTGGAACTCTCTTTCACAGATGACAATGGATGCTAGATCAGTTGTACATCTTAAACCTGAGAGACAGAAATTTTTGATAAGCAAAGGTATTAAGGGAAATGGGCCAAGTATGAAGTTAGGCCCCAGATCAGCCATGATCTTATTAGATGGTGGAGCAGGCTTGAGGAGCTGAATGACCTATACTTGTTCATATGTTCCTGTAGATCTCCTGACCCTTGCCTTGAATCTAAGCCTCTGGTCATTGATCTCTTCTTCAAAGGGAACAGTTCCTTCCTGTCGACCCTCTCTATTCCGCTGGTAATTTTATACATCTAGACCATGTCCAACTCAGTCTCCTCTGCCTGAAGGAAAACAACCCCAGTCTATCCAATCTCTCTTCGTAACTAAAACTCTCAAGCTCAGACAATGTCCTGGTAAATCTCTTATGCACCCTCAACAGTGTAATCACATCCCTCCTGTAATGTGCATTCCAGAACTGCACACAATGTTCTGTGGCCTAACTGATGTTTTATAAAGAGCCAGCATCACCTCCTTGTACTTAAACTCCATGCTTCAGCCAACAAAAGGCAA